AAGGGTCGAACCTGTGTAGTTGTCTCACAAGCAGGGATTTGATTTCCCTTTCAGAGGTTACTGGGCAATTTATGGGAAGGCATTGCTTTGTATTGCAGTGTGGCAAGATCACAATGTGCCACTTCAACCAAAAGAATGCACTTTAAGGGTGTTCCTGGGGAAATGACTAGCACATACATAGACACTAACTTCTGCTCACTGTTTCCATGCCCTTTCTTGACATTAGGAGATATGCTGTCACCTTTTGCAAATCCTGTGAAAGTTTCTTCACCACATACTATACTAAGATTGTATAACAGGATCCTCCCAGCCCAGTAGAACCACCTTGATCCTGGGCCCACTAATCCTAAGAGTGTGACCATCTGCACACACTCAGCTCTTTCACATGGAGACATTAGACACACCATTGGCATCAGGTCCTATCTCAACCTCCAGCCCATGGATCTCTTTTGTTCCTTAGTTCTATGCCCGCTCCTTCCCCCTCAACGTCACACCAACACTGAGAATGACTCCTCTTCTTCTCCTTCAGCCTCAACTAGAATGTCACCTGCTTAGAGAGATGCTCCCTCTTGGTGTCCACTCTGCCCCCTCTCCACTTATTTCACAAATGGTAATCATAAGACTGTGTGCTCATCAATGTGCTATCTCCTCCCCAGGGCTTCTGCAGCACAGTGCTGGGCATAAAAGAGATGCTATGGATAAAGATAAGAATGAATGAACTTCAAAAATTGAAGAAATAAATACCTCAGTTCTTCCTCAAATGTCGGCCAAAATCTCTTCCATCTTGTACAAGTAATTTTGTTAAACCAACATAACCGAGAAATTCACCTTGGTCCAAGGGCTTGGTAATTAGAAGTGCATCCATCTGGGTACACAGTAGAGAAACACAGGCGTCCTTGGTATTGGCAAGGGATTGGTTCCAGAACCCCTTCAGATATCAAAATCCATAGATGTTCAGTCCCTCATTTAAAATAGCATAGTATTTACAAATAACCTGTGCCTATCTTCTCGTACTTAAGTCATCTCTCATTTATAATACCTAATACAATGTAAATGCTACAAAATTATTGTTAACGCTGAATCACTGAATTGTTTAGGAAATAATAACTTTAAAAAAAGGGCAATATGTGTTCAGTGCAGAAGCGATTTTTTTTCAAATATTTTTGATCTGTGATTGACTGAATCTGCAGATATGGGACCTTGAAGTAAAAAGGCACCAATTGCAGGGCTGGGGTTGTAGCTCAGTGGTTGAACGCTTGCCTTACATCTGTGAGGCACTGGGCTCCATCCTCAGCACCACATACAAAAATAAGTTAAATAATTAATAAAGATTTTTTTTAAAAAAAAGCACCAATTGCATATGTACATATGGTATCTGATTGGGATCTCCTATGTGGGGGAAATGACTTAATTATTTCATACAATATTAAGTGTAGTCTACATATATGTATCATGTTTTATATAATACATACGCCACCTATATAAATTACCATAAACAATACCCTTTATATATTTTTCTACAATTTTATTAAAACATGTGCCATGATTACCATATCATATGTAGATCTACCCCATGTTAATAACAAATATATGTCCTTTTCAAAATTAAAAGTACTCACTCTTGCTGAGGTACACCTGCAGCATAGGGATGGCTCGTAGAAGCCATCAGACCACAAGCACTCCTCCCCAACTCCCGCCCTTTAGAGACCAGAGGACTCTGCATAGTGATGAGGATGAGGGAGTGCTTGCTCATCAACAGGTGCAGTGCCAGCGTGGGCTGCGGAGGGACAGGCTGATGTGGCTGAGAGGAGTGGAGGATGCAGCAGGAGGGGAGGAACAGAAAGACAAGTGGAGAGAAGGCAGGAGCCCATGGCTGCATTAGTCAACGACTGCAGTGAGGGGCACAGAAAGTGAGAAGGGCTGCAGATGACGAAGGTAGGGACAGGAAGTCAGGAGAGACAGAGCCTTGGTGGAGAAGCATAGTGGGCAGCCCAGTAGCATCCTGGAAGGGCAAGGTCATGGTCAGAAGGGAAGCTGGCCCCAGGAAGCTTCCTCTTTCCCCTCAAAAAGGGTAGTAAACTTATCCTCCAATGGTTTTGCCACATGGCTTTCCAACAAACGGGAGCATTTGTATGTTTCCAAGTGGGACTTGTTTATCTCCATCTGGAGTCTCAAAGTTCAAAACAGACTTCCAAACAAAGGGACCCTCTGCTCCGCAGTTCTCAGTCCTGTGCTCTGGCAAGGAGGGAGGCAAGGTCCTCGGCTCCCCTGATGATTTTCACAGCCAGGGCTACAGAAAGCCCCACCCCCAGCTTCCTCCTGCGTCTTTCCCCTCCAATTGTCTTGAACATCCTCAGGGGGATAGCTTCCTAAGTTTCTTTTAACCCTTTTCTCCCTATCCTTATAACTGTGGAAGGAAAATGAGAATGTTTCCCCCATGAAAGCTACTGAGCCTCATAGGGTTGTCCAAGATCCAAAGTTCTTTCCTAAAAATCCATCAGCATGCAGTTGGATGTGTTCTTAAAAAGAACCTACTACAAAAGAACTGGCCAGTTAAGCTCCCTGTAGTTGGAAAATTCTGAAGGCACATTTTCATGGGCACCACTCTATTTCTACCCACCATTGTCACTGAGGGTAGGTATAAGTAGTGAAGGACAGTCCTAATAGCAGACATCAAGACTTCATTTGGCATGTAACACACTATGCATTTTAATACACAAAACACCCAAAAGGTAGATGCTCTCATTATAACCAATTTACAGATGGAGAATAAAAGATAGAAGCTGAGGTTGGTCCTCCAGGAGGGTAGAAGCCTTGTCTGTTCTGTTCATCATTGTATTCCCAGCAGCCAGCACAGGCTTGAAACTAAGTAAGCATTCAATATGCAGTGATTTGTTATACAAAATTACATATAAGAGGAAGTGAGGGGAAAGGGAAAAAAAACAAGGGGGAGAAATGAATTACAGTAGATGGGGTAGAGAGAGAAGATGGGAGGGGAGGGGAGGGGAGGGGAGGGGGGATAGTAGAGGATAGGAAAGGCAACAGAATACATCAGACACTGGTATGGCAATATGTAAAACAGTGGATGTGTAACTGATGTGATTCTGCAATCTGTATACGGGGTAAAAATGGGAGTTCATAACCCATTTGAATCAAATGTATGAAATATGATATGTCAAGAGCTTTGTAATGTTTTGAACAACCAATAATAAAAATTAAAAAAATATGCAGTGGTTGAATGAATAGATGAAGGAATACCATTCTTTATTCGACTGTCTGTAATCTGACATTTTTTTAACACAGAATCTTTGGGCAGTAAGTAAATACATTCATGAAATAGCTCTATTAACTCGAACTTTCTTGGTGGGGGGAATATATTGAATAAGGAATAAATCTCAATATGACTATGTAGGTAATCTTTAAAGATATCTTTTGGAATAATTTAAATACTTATTAATCACTTATTGTTTTAAAAGCTATTTTAGGTCTCTTCATCTCAATAGCAAAAATCTGTTTGTGAATCCACAGGAATAGCTGTTTAAAAGACTAAGCAAGGGAGTCCATAGCCTAGAAATCTTCATTCTTTCTGGTATCTCAGGGCTGGTTATATATATGAAAGCCTGAAAATGACTGTGAAGAGGTTAGAGCTATTTTTGCTTCCACCCCACTGGAAAAAAACCCAAAATCTTAAAAGCTATCAAAATGTGTTCCAAATCCACTGACCTTCAATTTACCTAAAGATTCTTTAATTGCTATCATGCTTTGGGGTCATGAGCCATATTAATATTTTCCACTTTGTGTAAGATAGAAATACTGGACTTAATCTAAAAAGTGTTCTTTCTCTAGTTTTAAGAGTGTGGCTACTTTACCTTCCCTGATACGCCAGACTCTAGTGCACTGAATCACTCTTACACAGAACTGAGCTAAAATTGAGATCTGGTCCAGGTCTGCCAAAAAATGCTGAGTGTCATAGATCAGATAACTCAGCTTCTCTGGCCCACTGTTTCCTTGTCTAATAGTTGAGGGTATGAGTGTTCATAGTTGTTTCTTTCTTTTTTTTTTTTTAATTCTGCCTGTGTTCTTCATTAATGTCATCATTTCTATGGATAGGGATTTTCCCAATCTTGTTTTTCAACACTCGAAAGTCACACTTCATTTATCATGAATTACTTTCAGAAGGTGGAGGTTTTAGTAGGAACAGGAATGTAAAGAACCCCACCCTATTTTGGTCAATTGCGACTAAAAATATTCAAAAAATAAATCTCTATGATACACGCCTATTAGAACTAATTACCAAAATAACAATAATAATAATTTGGGGTAAGAACTAGTTGACCATACAAAAACTAGGGTGGATCCGTGAGTTTAGTCATGAGGTCACATACTACTGCTTTCCTCAAAGTGGGAAATGCCTGGGTGGAGGTGCCCAGTCTACCTTAGAGCTGTGTAGTATGAAAGTCTAAAAAGATCTGTTGATACCTACTGTTCTAGGTAGTTGGGGGTAGGAGGTTAACCCTGCTGGCAAGACCATTCCTTCATGGAACTAATGTTCTAGTAAGAAAGAGATGAATCAGTGCTAAGAAGGGGCACGAAGAGAAAGGGTGGAAAGTGGGGACATAGGTACAAGGCTATGGGAATCCTCGATACCTCACGCACCGGTCCAGCCGCCTTCTTCAGGGGACGAAGACCAGGCCCACACAGCAGTGACAAGCTCAAGACTAGACTGCACCCAGCTTCTCAGCACCAGGGCTGGAGTGGGAACCCTCTTCTCGCAAAGTCTTTCCTTCTCAGCCCCTCCCAAGAAGTTTCTTTCCCTCTCGTGGTCTAGCCTGTAGATCCAGTATCAAGAGAGGGAAAAGAAGCACTCAAGCATCCTCTTGTTGGCCCCAGGACACCAGGGTCCCATTGCAAGCCCCAGGCCCCCAGGAGCCAGGCAGAAGCCCAGCGGGGCGGGGCCTCGAACTCGCGCCCGCGCGTCCAGCAGGTGGCAGCAGCGAGCGGCCGCGCCCCCCGTGCTGCCAGCCCGTGAGCCCTCATCATGGATGGCGAGCTCTCCTATTTCGCTTGGCTCGCCCTGGAATCCCAGACCCCAGACGACGGGCAGGATTCATGAGCCGGTCGCAGGGGCCGGGGCAGGAGCCTCTGGCTCCAGACGCTGGCCGAGAGGTGGGTCCCGGGGCGGGTCGCTGCTCCCCGAGGCCGGGCGGGGACGCGCTGCCCCCGCCCTGCCTCCCTGTGGTCCACACCCCCTTTGGGCTCCGGAGCCGCTGGGCTGGAATAGTGCGGGGTGCGCGCGAGCAGGCGCTGCCAGCCCCGCTGCTGCCCGGTGTTCGGGTCCCGGGCGCGGGGGCACCAGGCCGCCGGTGTCCTCCCCGCCTCCTCTCCTTCCTGCTCTCACCTGCGCCTATTAGTCCACTCGCCTTCAAGGCCAGTGGCTCCAGCCCAGGCGGAGAGGGGACAGCAGAGGGAGAGAGCACCTGAGGATACAGAGCTGGCCCTGGACTGCCTTTTCACCCCCAGGTGATGAGTGAGGTCGAGAGAACGGAAGATTTAAAAAGCAACCGGGGCCTCCGTATTGAATGAAAGACCCAGTGCAAAGGCATCACCATGAACACGAGCAGTAAGTGGATCCTCCTCTCCTTTGCCATGGGAACAGGGGTGGGGGCGGGAGGTGCAGGAGCCTGCGCGGGGCTGCCTGGAAGGAAGAAGGAAGCCTGGCATCTGCGTGGACATCTGACCTCGGACTCCTTTGGGTGCTTTCTGAGCCCTCTGACTGAGGAATGGTTTTGGGGTCTGGCTTTTCGTGATGATTTTGCTAATGTTTAGTCAGCGGCGCCAGTTGCCTCTGTCGGAAAGGCTGCTGCTGTCTCCTTCTAGCAATGCCTGGGAAGGCCTAGGCAGCAGTATGTGGCCATTGTCTGATGTGGGGGCTCCAAGAGACCTCTCTGCACACATCTGGAAAGCCGTGGAGCTCTTATCCATGATCTGCCGAGAGCAGGGAAGCTGGCTTGAGGATGGGTGGGCATGGACAGGCAATGGGATAGAAAAGAACAATTTGATAAACAAATCTTCATGAAGCCACCTTTGAGTCTGGAGGCTGTGAAAGATCCAGTTCCTATGTCCCTCAACCTGGTGAGGCCAGGGCTGGTTTCTCTACCTACCACAAGCTTGTTGGCCACCCTGAGAAACCCAGAAAGGACAAGCCCTTGGGGCCATATTTCTAACATGCCAGAGGCCATAAGTCTTACAGAACCAGAACCAGACATTTTGCTTCTGGCTTGGGCCTCTGCTACAGAGAAATGCATTCAGCAAGACAAGGAGGCAGTCTCTGTCTTCAGTATAGTCCCCTGACTATGAGCACAAATTGGTACCTTGGGAGGGCACAAATGGGTTCAAGTCTCACTCTCCTGGCCCTGTTGTGAGCTTGGCTTGTCTAGGTCACTCCAGCATCAGTTGGAGGGTGTTGATCCAGAGGACCCCTACCAACATTCACTTCCCTGGATCTCTGACTTTGTTATTAGTCCCAACTCTGCATTTCAGATTGTTCATCTGTAACATCATAGAGGTTGTTAGAGACGCGTCTAATCTAAAAATCTACTTTTTTTTTTTCTGAAATAGCTAGAACTGAAGCAGGGCCAAGAAAAATCAGTACCTTACTGAGACCTTACTCAGCCCAAACCCACTATTTCCTCACCCTCCCTCCATTTCAAGGCCGTTGGCATAGAGAAGAGGAAAACAAAACAAAAGCCACTGAGATGGAAATGAAATATATTTATTTACTATGTGTTTGTGTGACTCATCTCTGCTGTCTTCCTTTGTGTATTGCATATCTATGCTAAGAAAGAGAGTGAGCCTGGACTCCCTCTGCATTTTACAGCCCAAAATTTTGCCTCTTGATTTCGACTGTCTAGAAGGATGGCCTCCTACCAAGCTCAGGAAAGGAGCAAAACCCTGTAAACCCATTCACACATGTTTGCATCTGTGTGCTTGCAGGCAAATAAAGATGTGAATTACTGTCAGTTTTTGCTATCTCTAGGGGTGAAAAAAAGAAAAAAATGTATTTATGGAAGTCTTTTTCCACTAAATGATAAAAGAGAAAAACAGCTCTTCTATTTTTCACAGAACTAAGGAGGGCAATAAGCGACTGATTCTGCACTTTTCAAAAAGAAACTCTTGGTAGCAACACTGAGTATTCCTGTAAGAAGGAAGTAGAGATTTTCCTTTTATTTTTTATTATTTTATAACAATCAAGAGAGTTGAATACTGCAGAAGATGAGGACTGGCAAAAATGCCATTCCAGCTTCACCTACTTCCTCTAAGCAGGGAGAGTGTTTATTCTGCAGGAGTGGGAGAAAATAAACAACAATGGCCCAGGTAGCCTCAGGAGTCCCTGAGTTCCCCATGAGAGGAAATGCTTCTGTGAGTGGTTACCTGGGGGGACACTGTGGGGGAGTCTCAGGTTCAGGGCTTTGCCACTGGACTCAATCATTATTGAGGTTCCTCCCAACTCTGAGAGTCTGCAAATGGAGAGACTAGAAATCAGACCTCACAGGAAGGACAAGGCCATGAGGTCACTGGGACAGAGCATTGACAGGAGGTCCTTAGCAGACCTGATGTAAGCAAAATGCTCCCCTTTGAGAAGTGAAATTTCTTCTGATTCTCACACCGGAAATTGTCCCTAGTAGAAACTCCTACTTAGTTTCTGTCTTCCACTTCCAGTCATGGGGACCTTGCTCCTCCCCCCCCCCAGCTATGGCCAGGCACTTTCCTGCTGCCTTTCAACCAAATTCTCCCACCAGAGCTGGGGCATGGTATTATTATTCCCCTTGAGTAGGTGACTTCGTAGCTAGTATGTGGTAACTTCAAGTCATACTGTTAACTGTTGGCTTGTGAAAGGTGTTGGGAAGTGTAATGTTTAATAGTGGGTACAATCCCTAATCAGTGGTTCAAATGCCAACACTCAAGAGCAGATGAATCTCGAGCTTGTTTCTAAATTCCTAATCACTTCATCTGGAGAAGAGCAAGGGTTGTAGTCTTTGGGCAACTATAAGAGTTGATAGGGCTCAGGCCCTGGAGTCAGGGTGTCCTGAGTTCTGTTCTTTTTCTTAGCTGTGTGGTTTTCAGCAGAGTTGTCTCACCTGCAAAAATTAGAAGGGAATGTAGACTAAATGTTCATGTTTCATGTAAAATACCAAGAGGGGGACCTTCGCTGTGGACATGTCCACAATGGGATGGTCAGGCCACCACAGTTACTCTGGTGATCACTGGGGCCATTAGTCACTGTTGACTTTAGGACATTAGCAAGGAGGCCAGTCAACCTTGAAGATCTCACACCTTCACTATGAATTGAGAAGCATACCCGGAGTGTAATTTTTGAGGATTGAATAGGATTATAAGGAGGAAATGCTTTGTGAAAATGTGTAAACTGTTGTTCTTAGTAAGAAAACCATTTCTCAGTGACAGGAATAGGAACAGGCTCAGTCAGTGACTCCCCAGTGTGAATTTTTAGAATCCTTTCTTCTGAATTCACACTGAGCATCAGTAGGCTAAACAGCAGGCACTTGGGAGACAGGGGTTAACTTGGGGTAGATAGAACAGGGTGGCAGACAGACCTGTTCTGGCCCCCAGAGCCAATGAGGGAGGGGGAAGGAGGGAGACTCAAAAGGCAGGAGCAGGCCACCAAGCTTCAGGAAGCCCGAGCTCCTACCGAGGTCTCCACTTCCTTGGGTGAAGGACTCCAGAGGAGGGCAAGGTAAGCAGGTCAGGGGTGGCACTTTGACTTCTTGGGGTACCTCCATCATCTGGCCCTTCTTTCCTCTTCCATGCTCCCAACCGAATTCCAAGACCTGTCATCTGTCTCCTGACCTCCTGGGGCAGCCCATAACTGGTCTCCCATCACCCACTCCAGCACCTCCTGTCCTCCCCGTCCACTCTCTGCAGTACTCTCTGTGGGGTTCACAGCCTGTCCTTTCTTAACAGCCCCGCCTCTTCCACGTAGCACCATTCTCCCCGCACCTGTTCCAATTGCCTCTTTCCATTCCCTCTAAAGCCTTGCTCCTGCCCACTCTTCTTGGGAAGTCCCCTCCTCACACAGCACCAGCCCAGCTCCTCACCCCCCAGAGCTGCAGAAGTCCTCCCCAGCCTCCCAGTCCAGCTAAACACCCCCTCAGGTATGCCCACAGTACATCTTGCCCTTTCCTTCAGAGCCTGGTCTCTGTCATTACACACTCATCCATGTGGTGAATGCATTGAAGCCCATCTCCCTAAACAGTCAACTCTACAAAAGCTTTGGCTTGTAGCTGTGGTCTGCAGCCCCCAGCCATGATGCATCCTGGGATGTTTCTTTATGCCAGTTTGTACATCGGCCATTTTCATGAACCCAGACCACTCCATCTCACCCAGTTCAGATCCACAGGGGCACCATCCATCAAATGTACAAGTTCTCAGGCAACCATCAATCTTTCGTTATTCCCTCTTGTCTCTCCCATTCCTAGGTTGACACCAGGAGTTCCAAAACCAAGGGAGCCTAGGTAAACCCCAGTGAGCCAAAAGCCCTGATCTGTGTCCTATAAAATGTTATGCTCCTCACCCACAATTCCCAGAGCACCTGAATGCTATGGCTTTCCTATGTACAAAGCCCAGGGCTGTTCATCCTCAGGATTGGGTAAGCATCGTGTGTACCATGGACAATGGTATCATCCATCCTCCCTGGTTTCATAGGCTTTCTCCTGCCTCTGAACCTTTCAATGCCTCTGGCTCTTTCTTCACTGTGGATTGGCATGCTGTTAAATTACTTTTCTTGCAACAGACTTTGCTTTTGTTTAAGAGGGTATTCAAGGACCACGTAACCCCACAAAGGTTTCACAGGACACTAAGAACCTGAGCTTTGTCATATAGATTCCTGAGTTCAAATTCAGGATCTATGATGTATTCTGTGCTCTTGGACAGAACAGATTATTTCTCTGAGCCTGAATTTTATCCTGTATAAAAATGTGAGCGATAAAATGCCAACATGCAAGGTTCTTGTGAGGATCAAGTGGAATACCATGGGTCTCAAGCAAGTGGAGTTGAATCCAAGGTTGAGTTGACATTGAGTCAAGCAAAGTTCTGAAATGACAGTATCATAAAAACCAAAATCTCTGATTGAAAATTTGCCTGTTTTACTGGTACAGTAGCCAGTGCAGGGTTTTGTACATAGGAAAGCCATTAACCTAACAGGAAAATCATTAACCTGGTGTTGTATATGACTTAGGTTGAAAATGGCAAAATAGGAACTTAAGATCTTAAGTGAAGCCGAGCATGGTGGCACATGCCTGTAATCCCAGCAGCTCAGGAGGCTGAGGTAGAAGGATCATGAGTTCAAAGCCAGCCTCAGCAACTTAGTGAGGAACTCAGGGACACCTTGTCTTTAAATAAAATACTTTTTTAAAAGGTCTGGGGATGTGTCTCCGTGGTTGAGCATCCCTGGGTTCAATCCCTGGTACCAAAAACAACAACAAGGTCCTAAGGAAGAGACAGTGGCTCTGGTTCAGAAAAGGTATGAGAACCAGGATTTGGGAGGTCATAAGGTAGAAATTGGGGGAAAGAGCCTTTAGAAAATAGACTGCACAGCCTAGAGCC